ATATATATATATATATATATATATATACATCTTAATTTCTGATATATTTTCGAGGGAAACAAAACGAAAACCTAAAATCATCCTACCTTAAGCAACGTTTTTTTGATGAAATACTTTCCTGTAACGTCCGCCTCTATAAACCCACTCCCATCCTTCTTGGTTATCAACAGGATTAACCAGTTGGAAACATGTGATATTGGTTCTTCCCCTCTGGAAATCCCTCAAGTCAACCGTGTGTAAGTCCTGGAAAACAGCGAGAGAATGAATAATAAATAAGAAAGAACACAAATGATATGTACCGGAAAAGATGTTTTGGTAATGCAGAGAGAGAGAGAGAGATCGAAGTAAAATATCAGCAAACTCTTGTGACGGAAGAATGACCTTTCTGTTCACATAAGATATAAAACTTATTCACAAACCACTTAATATATACATATTACATGATATTTATATAATATTTTGCATATATAAATATATATATATATATACATGAGTGAGTATGTATGAATAATTTAAAAATGTTTTCCAATGGATTTGAGTCACATAAAAGTTTAAATCAGTGTTATTTCAAAATACTCTTGAGAAGTTCATATATAGGCAAGAAATACTATATAATAATTTATTATAAGATCTTAAAATACTCACCAAAGAAGTTATCAGGTAATTGTGATATTCGGTCATCATTCCAATGTCTCGTGCCTGTAGCATGAATGAAAATAAAACACGGAAATGACAAAATGTTAGCATGAATGAAAATAAAACACGGAAATGACAAAATGTTACACAATTATTCTTTAACACTTTTTGCCTTTACTTTGTGAAATAAACATTTTCGACTTAATCTCATTATTGCAATCTTCACGTGGCTTCAGTTTTAACACAAAGTTCTTGATGAGTTAATTTTGTTATTAATCAATTAATATTTGTAATTAATCAATTCCTTATACTCCATCGATAAGACCAAAGTTTCTTGATTGTGACGCTCTGTTACCATGGATACGGAAAACCAATCGAAAAAAAACATCACACAAAGCTCATTGCACGTCATCCCCTTGTAGGATTTTCATAAATCTCTGTGAGTTGAAAAATAACTCGGACCACTTTCTTTTCGCACTTTAAAGTTTCCACACGGACATCTTTTCAAGCATGATAAACAAAAGTGTCACAGATTTCAATGACGTCACAAATACAATGTTTCTTTAAGAAGACGTTATGGCATAAAGCAACTTAGTAGACTGGAGTCAATCAATGAGCTTGTCTGTTGCCCTATTTATAAAGCAACTTAGTAGACTGGAGTCAATGAATGAGCTTATCTGCTGCCCTATTTATAAAGCAACTTAGTAGGCTGGAGTCAATGAATGAGCTTATCTGCTGCCCTATTCATAAAGCTTATTGATACTGTGGCTCTATGCTTACAGTGTAGCAGATTTGTGAAAGCTTAATAATGTTATTTTGATAAAAATTAATTTCTTGAAAATGAGAACACATCTTATAAATAGAATAAAATAACATAGGTCAATAAGAAGTAGGTTAATGTTTGAAGAATAACACAAGTTCAAGTGTTGAAAAGAACATATTTTTATGCATGTTTTTAGGTACGGTTGATGCACATCTGTAATTTGTGACATTAGTTTGTAAATCAGATTATATCAGCGTACAGAGATGAGTTGTGTGATCATTATTCAAATTAAAATTACCAGTAACGTTATGTGTAACGAACATACATTGTTCTAGGAGTAGAGTTAAATACATTTAAAACTTATTAAGAGTAAAAAAAAGTTAGTTTTGTGTTTTTTCACACTTAATATAGTAGCACAGTATGCCGGAAAAGAAATTATATTTAAAATTTTGACTAGGTTTTTTTACTTATATCTAAGTTTTTTCTCTTTACACATTCACCACAAAATGTGCCAAGACTCTGTTCCTAAGTTACGCCATTGTCATGTTTCAGCAACGTTATGATATTCCTTCCATCTTCAAGAACATAATGCAGTAAATGTCACATGTTGTTTCTTACAAACAATGTTATCCTCGATGTTTAGAAGATGATTACCGAGTTCACGATTTTGCAACAACTTTATCGAATTTTCTTCACCTTACATTTACCAGCTTGCCCATTTCGAAACTACAACAAGGAAATATGTTTTGTCTATGCTGTGTAAACCAAAACAAAGTTGTTCTAAGAATTGTATTCTGGAATTTATTGTCGTAAAACGTGTTTCATTCTTGAGTTTCCCTTAGAAACAGAATAATCTTCATTTGGCTATTTTCATTCTTCAACTTAATTAAGATTCTGACTTAAAAAAAAATATACTGAAAGAGAATCTCAAAATTTATTTATAAGAGAATTTGAACATTTATAGTTTATTTTAATTTATTTGAAAATTTGTAAACTAAACAGCAAGTCATAGAAACTTGTTTGGAAACCCTCCAATAACATTATGTTGAAATAAAACTTCGATATCTTTCAAACCTCCTTTAAAAACTCCTTAATTCTCCAGGTGGATATATCAACTACGATATTTGTTTCTCCTTGCTTGCCAATGTCTTTAACAAGCTTCTTGTAACTCATTCCTGGTTTCAGTTGACGAATCGAAACCTTTGCTGTCTTTTCTTTGTCTCTCTTCAATAGTTCCTTGAGCTTAATGAGAGCTAAAAAAAACAACACAGAAAGTAACTCCACTCTGAAATATTATACGTGATAGTATCTAGAAGCAGACCGAAAGAAAAATGTTTTATAAAGCAGAGAAAAATTAAATAAAATTTGATTTAAACGTTTCGTGCAAATAATCTCCATCAAACGTTTCGAAGAAAAGAACAATGTATTATGGTTTCTATAATTTTTCGGATTTCATAGTGATCGTTTAATCATAATGATTTACAGTATCTGAAAGAACAGCTGCAAGAAAGCCTATCTCACTATTTGTTGTTGTTGTTGTTGTTTTGTTTTCAGAATTTAAAAAAAAAAACAGGAAAAACTCATTTCATATACTAAACATACTTTGATAAACGTTTTCTCGTGTCCATAATTAATAATTTTAAAATCCTAACTAATATTGGACTTTGTGCTCAACTATCTTTAAAAGAAGCGAGTTAGAGACTTGTTAACAAATGTTTAAGTACATTGTCCTGAGTATTCATAATCCTGTTGAAAGACGATTAATTTTTGATGCCAACAAAACTAAAAACAAAAGATTCGAACCTTCATTGTCTTCGTACACGATCGTATAGGACGTCCAGTCTCTCGCTTCAACGATATCCCGATATGCTTGACTCAGCATCGTTATGCTAGGGTACATAAACAACGAGAAACCACTAGAAACAAGTCTGTAATCCCATTGCAAGTGGACATGAGGTATTTCAAAAAAATTTGAAGCTGATTGGATGAGAGATGACGGCGATAGAGAGGTTGGACCAATGAAACCAACAATCCCAGAGCTCAGTAACTGGCATGCTAAAGAACAAAAACTGAAGTTGTCCTTATAATTTCAGACGTCGGGGGACGTTTAATTAGTTACTTAAATAACTATAATTGTAATAATATATGTAAAATTTGAAGGTTCTTCAAAATAACCCATGCACACACACACACACATATATGACCACAGTATAGAATCATTACAAACTATTGTGAGCAATTTATCAGCTCACTGAATCGTGTGAGCATAACTGACCAGCTGCTTATAATTTTAAAAGGGGCGTACACGTTACAGTTTAAAAATGAACAAAAATCACGAAATCGAAAGATAAAAATAAGAACTACTTGCGCAAAAAAGATCTTTGTTTGTTTGTTTGAAGTTAAGCACAAATCTACACAATGGGCTATCTGTGCTCTGCTCACCACGGGTATCGAAACTCGGATTCTAGCGTTGTAAGTCCGCAGACATACCGCTGTGCCACTGGGGGGGCGCAAAAAAGATACATGATACAAGTGAGTACAGATAAGTGTTGAAAGGCTCCGTTTAAACATATATATACCCAGGGTTAAACAGAAACACATGAGAGAGAACTAAGACATGAAAAATAACTTAAACATTTATGCATCCTCGAAAGTCCTTATGAGGATACATAAAAGTTGAAGTTGTTGCCTAATCTGAGCTACTGCAGTGGGTATCACAAAAAGATGGTTACTAATCTGAGCTACTGCAGTGGGTATCACAAAAAGATGAATACTAATCTGAGCTACTGCAGTGGGTATACAAAAAGATGGATACTAATCTGAGCTACTGCAGTGGGTATCACAAAAAGATGGATACTAATCTGAGCTACTGCAGTGGGTATAACAAAAAGATGGATACTAATCTGAGCTACTGCAGTGGGTATCACAAAAAGACGAAGTTTAGGTTTACTGATCTGAGCTATTGCAGTGGGTATCACAAAAAGATGGATACTAATCTGAGCTACTGCAGTGGGTATCACAAAAAGATGGATATTAGGTTTACTGATCTGAGCTATTGCAGTGGGTATCACAAAAAGATGGA